TCTTTCCACTTTTAATAAATGAATTACTTGGGCCTTTAAAAAGCTTGCAAATCATTGACTGCATTTAATTTCAAAGAAAACAAACAACCTGCCAAAGGTCACATCTGTTCCCACAACTAAATAGAATTCATGCTAAGTAGCAATCTTGCTGTGTCTCTGAGCACACAAATCACAAGGTAAAAGTCCTTGAAAATAAAATATTCTTCCCATCATTCTACCAGAGTGTGTTTTGGTGCATTTTAAAGAGGCATTAAATATTTATTTTTCCAAGTTTGATTTGTAAGTAGAGTTAAAGGTCTCAAAGAATGCATATTGTCTAAGAACGTTACATGCTGTTTAATCTTAGATCAAGAGTCACTGTGTTCAGGGTGAATAATGCAGACAGTCCAGGTTACCGACAGACGTTCACTGTAACCAATGTTGAGTACATTTTTAAAAATAATTTAATAGATGATGCGCTCGCTAGGTTCCCTGAACCACTATCATGCCAAAACAAATATTTCTCATTGAGGTGTCAACGAGGTAACTTCACAGTGCAAGTAGTTGTTACTGACAGGTGGTTAGTACAATTTGTTGCTGTCAGAAAATACCACAAGCCACTTGACCACACTGACGGCAAAATACATTTGTTGTATCTTCATTACAAGGCTGTGTTTACTACAAATTATATATACAAACACACACATTTTTGACCACATTTTGGGTATTCTTGGTAGTTTTAATCTCCTTTTGGTTGTTTTTTATTGTTAAAACTAAAAGCTTAATATTTTATATTCCTTAATTCTAGCAAAAAGGGGATGTGAAAGATTGATTTAATAAGATTTTAAAGAATCACACATTTCAACATTGTGAGCAGTGGCGTACATACCGCGGTCGCAGCTGTGACCGGGCCCGTCACTCCAGCTGCAACGTTTTGCGCCCCGGCTGTCAGGGCCACCCGATGGATATGGATTATCAGGGGGCCCGGTCAGCGCTGGGCACTTTAACAGCACGACCGGGACTCCTGTGATGACATCACTGCTGGGAAGAAGTGACTCCACGGTCACTCCTCCCAGCTACCAGAGCCCGCGCGGGAGGAAGGAGTCAGAGTGGGAACTCTGACTCCCATCAGGCTTGGCCCCCACTGGTCCCCAGGGAAAGTCACAAAAGGTAGGACACAGGAAACATTGTGTATATGTATGTGTCTCTGTATGTGTGTTTGTCTGTCCGTATCTCTGTATGTGTGTTTGTCCGTATCTGTATGTATGTGTGTCTCTGTATGTGTGTGTATGTATGTGTCTGTCAGGGGGGTGTATGTCTGTGTGTATGTGTTTGTGTGTGTTGGGGGTGCACGGATCGGGAGAAAGGGGAGGGAAGGGAGGGAGGTGAGAGGGGGTGCCCACTGATCAGTTTCGTACCGGGGCCCCATGGGCTGTGTGTACGTCACTGATTGTGAGTGATGGTTGCAGTTAGAATTGGTTAGGGTTAAATAGGGTTAGGGTTGGAAAATACTATAAAAAGAGTCAAAGATTGACAGTAGTCATAATGGAAGCACAGTATCACTGTATCACTTACATTAACAACAAATAGCAAGAAAAGAGATTCCCCATCAAACTCTGGCAAAGTTATACAAGTGGGGTACTGTTCTTAGTAGGACCCACAAGGTCTATGAAATTCACAATGAAAGATAAAGCTAAATTAATCAGAAATTGGTGATGGAGTGACCAAGTGAAAAATCTCAAAATGCAATATATAAAATAATTTACATCTCCTGCAAGTGTCATGTCATCATGGAGGTAAATTGCAATATATGCCTTCTATTTTGTCCCAAAAGGGATGTGAGCCCAGTAAATGAATTGGTGAAAATGTAGAATTTGAAAACTGGCAAGTCGGTTATTTGACCCTACGTCTCAAAAATCTGACAAGGTCTACAAATGAAGTAATGCTGTACTCAAGGACAGTAGCAAATTGCATGTATGGGATTTTTACAGTAGTCGGATACACAAGCAGGGTTATTTACAATAGTGAGAATTCAAAGGAAAAAAAAAAACAGAACTGGAAAATCGTCTATGGTTTCTTGTTTGGCTTCTTCGGCTTAAGATGTTAAAGTCACTTCGAATTCTTACGTTTAGTAATAAACCAGACTGCTTGTGAATTTTTTCACAAACGTGCATGATAAGCACAAAACAAGTAATTATAGTTAGGAGATTTATCAGAGAAATGTTATAAAATAAAAGGTGATTAAAAGTGTCAAAATGACTTAAATCTTACTTCAATACTCTGGTGGTCTGCTTTCTTCAAATATATCCTTTTGATTAGAAATGTTGGAAGGTTATGTGACTGCTATTAAATGGATAGTCAAAGCAGGTGGTCATATTAGTCTCAGCTGAGAAGGTTTAGCAATAAAATCATGATTCACTGCTTGCAGTATTATCTTTCAGCTTCCAAAAAAGATTAACACCTTAGACATATGAGACATTATAGCAATTAAAGGGACACTATAGTCACCAGAACAACTACAGCTTATTGAATTTATTCTGGTGACTAGAATCATTACCTTCAGGCTTTTTGCTGCAAAACGCTGTCTTTTCAGAGAAAATGCAGTGTTTACATTACAGCCTAGTGTTTACATTACAGCAGTCACTGGCCACTGCTCAGATGTCTGTTAGAGATCCTTCCTGGGTCATGGCTGCCAAAAATGAATCCAAACATTCAGTGTCTCCTCCCTCTGCATGCAGACACTGAACTTTCCTCATAGAGATTCATTGATTCAATTCATCTCTATGAGGAGATGCTGATTGGCCAGGGCTGTGTTTGAATCATGCTGGCTCTGCCTCCGATCTGCCTCTTTGTCAGTCTCAGCCAATCCTATGGGGAAGCATTGTGATTGGATCCGGCTACCACTTCTGATGATGTCAGCAGACTGCTTGTTTTTCTGAGTCTAACAGCATGCAGAGTTACAGCTTCAGGCTTGAATACAATAAGATTTTTGCTATATTTATGGAGGCATGAGGGGCCCAGGGGAGCTAGATGGTGGTTTTAACACTATAGGGTCAGGAATACATGTTTGTGTTCCTGACCCTATAGTGATCCTTTAAGACTAAAAAATAATTTTACTTTCAGTTATTTTTATTTTTAGTTGAAATTTTTTTTAGTTTTTTCAGTTTTTAAAAACAATATTTTACTTATATGCAATATTGTTAAATGCATACATATGGGATTTTTGAAGAAACCTCTGTTTTGTCCTTCAAAACCAATACACATAGGCGTGCGCACGGGGTGTGCCAGCAGGGGAGATCTCAGCCTCCCTCCCCACTGCAGCATGGAGGGAGAGAGGCAGGAGAGGACCCGGGGAGCTCAACCAGCTGCTCCGCCGGGTTCCTCTCGCGAGTTCTGAGCGTTGCCGTGGCAACGCTCAGATCTCGCAAGACTGAACTCTAGCCCCTCTCCACTGGACCACCAGGGAAAGCAGCAGGAACAAGAATCCCCCCTCCCTACATAAGGTAAGAAGAGAGGGGGGATATTAAGTAATGTACCCCCACAATCACCCACACACAGCAAAATATATATATATATATATATATATATATATATATATATATATATACATACATACATACATATACATACATATACATACATATACACACACATGGCGTGTGTTTGTGCTTTAGGGTGCACACCCTAATGCAATAGGCTGTGCACACCTATGCCAATACATAAGAAATAGGGGTGCCCACATTAGGAAAGCTGCCAAAGAGGCTTCAGTAACAAATATATTGAATCTCAGAGAAGCCTCAGTCATTAAGAGGTTAACTGTCAGCCCTCGAAAATGCCTTACTGACCCTCTCAATAGCTATACTTCAGCTTCATGTTAAAAGGCAGTTGAACGTTAAATCCGAGCAACAGACCACTACAATGAGAATAAAGAAAGGGGGACTCTGATCCCAGAGCCAGCTGTTTCTTGAAACCTGACCTCACAAACAGCTTTTGTGGAACTCAAGAATGACAGAGTCATGTGCAAGCTGTGCATGTAACACACTTACAAGCCATTCCTGGGGTAAACTTTCACCCAACTGCCCTTTGTCCACATGAGTACCAGTACCAAGACAGCGGTTTTTAACTTATCTGCTTGAACACACGCCAGTTAGTAACAATAGATACCCTGAATATGATTGCCCTAACTGTTATTTTATATAAACATGTCAATCCTTCGCAACTTGTTTATTTACTAAATGCAATTTAGAATTAATTGAAAGCTGAAGAGCAAAATGTAGGCTACAATATCCAAGCCCAAGCCATAGCGAATTGTCTTCTATATCTGTTAATGCTGCCTAAATTTAGCAGTTTGGTTTTCAACACACTATGGTTGAGAGTGATATTAATAAACCTCTATGTAGTGTAACAATCTGGTACTGAAATGGTTAAATCAAAGTTCAGTTCACCTAGTTAAAAGGCCAGGTGATCATCTTTTACAGCTATAACTAACAATATAGATGGTCAAAGAGGGACACTTTATTCTAGGGGTGTGAGTAAGTGGTTTGGCCAGTTCTGAGAACTTTTTAGGTGACTTCCTAATAACAATGTATTCAACTAAAATGTAATTTAGAACACTAACAATGTATCTTATTGACAGAGACGTATTTCTAAACACATTTATTGTAGTTTAAAGCCATATTACTGGGAGTATTATTGCTGTGGAGCTCTGTTATAAGCTCAGACACACCAACAACATGGAACTGCTAGAAGAGAAGGGCATTAGGATAGAAAAGAGGCGCAGAGCAAATGGTTACCAAAATAGGGACTGTCCCTTTTAAATAGGGACACTTGGGAGTTATATTAACACATTCATAAACAAAAGAAATAAGAACATGTGCAATGCTAAGACGGTGTTATCTTTCCTTTTTAAGGGATTATTCAGTAAATCAAGAATTGCAGAGAACTGAGAAGAGTTTTAGTCCAACTAGTTGGGATTGGAGTTTGATACATTTTTTTCAACTTGACAGTTATAGCCTAAAATTTGCAATGTTCTGCTCAATTCTTCCAAATTCTCAAATTAGTAAATAAACCCTCACAAAGTTCCCCCCTTTATGAAAACACAATTTACCTAATAGGAATCCCAGGAGAAGGACTCCAAATGCACCCAGGACGAATCCAAGGACGGTAAGTGAACTAAAACCTTTTACCCCTCTGGCAGATTCGTGCTCCTCACTGCTTAAAAGTCTCAGCATTTTCTGTTCTTCAGTGAAATGTGTTTATACAGGGAGGCCTTGACCAGGGTGTGAGGATCCCACTGCATGCCTGAATACTAGAGATTTCAAAAATGCTTCCCAAAGAAAATAAGCTAATTAACAGTGATCCCTCCCTTTCTCTTATGTACGCCAGGCCAGAAAGGTCAAAGTTCTCTGCTGAGTCCTGTGTCTTGATTAACTGTGGAACTGCTAGAAGAATGTTAAAATAAAAATCTTTCTATCCATCTCAGTGTGTGAGTGTAATGTGGATAGTTTATGGCATACCAATCATCAGGACAAATGTTTACTTGTCAATGGCTAATGACAAATGGAAATCTTGAGCCCTGTAAATCAATATGGGACATAAAAACATGATTTGTATCTATATATTTACCATTGTTCTGTTTAATTATATAGACACATGCACAGGGTACTATGATTTTAGATTAACCACTTAACTACCAAGCGGTTTACAGCCACCAGCATTCGAGTATTTGTGTGCCCTCAAAATAAATATTTAAATGTATTTTTCATTTCGGTATGCATAGACAGCACATTATTTAATAGAAACAAAATTCAGCGTGGACAGAAAAACATTAAAAAATTTTTTTTAACAATTAATAAGGTTACACATAGGAAAACAGGGTTATAAATAAATAAAATTTCTCAATATGTGACCTCGACATTTTGTCTATAATCCCCTCATCTATACATTGTCCAATATACTACTTTACCGACAAGATTGAACAGCTAAAGAAATAATTCTCCCCACCTTACCGTTCTCTTTCTCAACCACACGTAGATCATACCTATAAAGTAGATCATAACAATCCATAGGTATGTCCCTTCTCCCTCTCTCCGCTCTGTCCATGACCTTCTCCTGTCCGCTGTCCAACCTATCGTTCCTGTAAGTTTTCTTGTAATTGTAATAATAATACACTCAGTTTTGTGTGTGTATGTATGTATGTGTGTATGTATGTATGTGTATGTATATATATATTGTAACAGCACCCCCAGGCATTAAAAAGGTTAAACCGCCGTTTAGAAGATCTTCCCCTTCCAGAGACACAGGCAGCTACTGTAGACACCAATCCACCAAACCCGAGAAGCATATGAATGCTCTCAAACATACGAATACTGTAAACAGTCGAATAGGAAAAAACATACGAATAGGTTTACACTCCTAGCATTCGAACTGGAACAGCATACAATAAATCCCCCCAAGAACGAGACAAGGCTCCGTTTTGTGGGTCAAGCAGTGAACAGACAGAGCTGTGGGTTTATTGTTCTTATATACACATTAGTACCACCCACAGGGTTTTGGAAAACAACCAATAAACAGGTACAATACACTCAGACACTCCCACACAAAATCCTCCCCTCTGCCTGTGATACAATTACCTTATGCAATGGGTAATATAATTATCACAGACAGAGAAATACAGTTTTTCCACATTATTCATAACTTTAAAAGTATGCATCACATTCACATAAAACTTACATTTCAGAATCAGCATACTCCAAATACGAACATATGTCAAAATCATCCACATTGGTTCAAAAGATAGATCAAAGTCCTTTGTGACCAAAGGAAGCATGGCTTTTCTGCCCAAAACCAGTTCCACAGAGTCTTCTATCCTGGAGATAAGTGGGAAGTAATCAAATTATCTCCAAAGACAGAGGCAAAACTCCATTAAGCACATGGCAGTAAAAAGACAGTAAAATACAATAAAATACACAAGTTTACATTTATTACATAAAATACAGACATGCAACATATCCCCAGATAGCTTAGGTCTGAGCACACATTATTACTGAATGGCACTCAGACCACACACATACAGTTCAATTGCCATGGAGCCAAAGTCTTTCCCATAGTCTTTCATTATACGAATGGACTCCATGGCATAGCTATCTGGGGTATCACCGCTCTAACAGGGCAAGCACCGAATGACCCAGCTTTCATGTCTTTGCAGGGGAAAATCAAGCGTTTCAACATGGGGCCATAGTCTAAAGGCAGCAGGCGGGCAACCAGGCTCCTCCAATGCACAGTGGCAAGATTGGTCTCGTCACATATATATATATATATATATATATATATATCCCCCTATGTATATTGTATATGTTGCCACATTACCCATACAATTTCGCTCTTACATTGTAGCCATGTTGCGACATTGGACAAACACAGATACATGTGCACACATACTGATACACTCACATATATACACTTTGTTACATGCACATATATATATATATTCAATATACGCATTCACACTATGATACACCACATACACACACAAAACATTGATGTATATAGACACACAACAAACAGACATTTACAGATACAATCACACAATCACATTGTTTGCCTGGCGATGTGTAGTGCGTGTGTGCCTCAAAGTATTTGTCTGGCAGTGAGTAACCTTGTGCATCTCTGAGTGTATGTGTATCCATGACTGTGCCTGCAATTCAAATCTGTGTGTGTGTGTGTGAATCTTTGTATTGCTGAGCACATGTATCTCTTTGGGTGCATATATGTGGAGGGAGCTGCTTGCAATGTTTTGTATGTATGGGGGGCTGCTCATGGTCTTGCTGTGTGCACTGTGTTTACAGTGAGGCTGTGTTGTGTGTGTGAGGGGTGATTATATGAGTATGAGGGTTACTGTCTGTAGGGAGCCTGTGGAGCCAGATTGTAATTTTCCTGACTTCTATAAAATTAATACCTTTACGTTGGAGAATAATGGTTTATTTTTCATTGTATAGTTGAAAAATAGCTGAATGTATTGTAGAATGTAAAATCGTGCTAAAATAATATTAAATATATTGCATATTAAATTTTTACCTTTATTGTGTAATTCTTCTCTAGTTTGTTCAGGGATAATTTGTATGAGATGGATTTCATGAGAATGTAAACAGATTTTAATTACATTTCATGGTGTGCATTTATAGAAAGGTGTTTGAAGAGGATGTCACAGTTAAATTATATTAATCTAAGCACAGAAAAATGTAGTTGATAAGACAACACAACAAATAGATGCTAAAAAAAATAAAAAATTATTGCAAATATCTAAAAGTTAGCTACTGGCCAGACCTAACATGAAAATTGCTTTAACCTCTGCAGTGCTGAAAGCAAGGCTTTTGCGCATATACGGCAATTCTGAATTGGTTGTGAAGTTGCCTACAATATAGAAATATTGCACTGGTAAGTACACTTATGGGAAAAAGAAAGTACACCCTCTTTGAATACTATGATTTTACATATCAGGACATAATCATCTGTTCCTTAGCAGGTCATTAATTTAAGTAAATGCAACCTCAGATGAACAACACATGACATATTATACCATGTCATGGTTTATTTTACAAAAATAAAGCCAAATTGGAGAAGCCATGTGTGAAAAAAATCACCCTTACTGCTTCTGTAGAAAAAAGGAGGCTAAGTACCACCTGTACGCTGATGACACTCAGATATACCTCTCCTTCCCGGACCTCTCCCCTGCCGTCCTGCAACGTGTCACTGCTTGCCTTTCTTCCATCTCTGGCTGGATGTCCTCCCACTTTCTGAAACTCAATCTCTCTAAATCTGAACTCCTTGTCTTTCCTCCTCCTAATACTGATCCTCCTCTCTTGCTCTACCTTCAAGTCAGTGATATCCACATCCGTCCATCCTTGCAAGCACGCTGTCTTGGCGTCATACTTGACTCTGGTCTCACTTTTGAGCCTCACATCCAGTTTGTTGCCAAATTCTGTAGGTTCCAACTTAAAAACATAGCCCGCATCTGCCCCTTTATTACACAAGATGCTACCAAGGAGCTCGTCCATGCTTTAGTAATATTCCGCTGGATTATTGTAACCCTCTCCTGATTGGTCTCCCCAAAAGCCGTATTGCCCCGCTACAGTCTGTAATGAATGCCGCCGCCAGACTGATTTTCCTCTCTAGTCAGTCCTCTCATACCTCACTTCTATATCTGCTAATTCTGCCTAAATTTAGCAGTTTGGTTTTCAACACACTATGTTTCAGAGTGATATTAATAAACCTCTATGTATCGTAACAGTCTGGTACTGAAATGGTTAAATCAAAGTTCAGTTCATCTAGTTAAAAGGCCAGGTGATCATCTTTTACAGCTATAACCAACATTATAAATGTACAAAGAGGGACACTTTATTCTAGGGGTGTGAGTAGTGGTTTGGCCAGTTCTGAGAACTTTTATGTGACTTACTAATAACAATGTATGCAACTAAAATGTAATTTAGAACAAGAACAATGTATCTTATTTACACAGACTGAATTCTAAACACACGTATTGTAGTTTAAAGCCACATTACTGGGAGTATTATTGCTGTGGAGCTCTGTTATAAGCTCAGACACACCAACAACATGGAGCTGCTAGAAAAGAGGCTCCCTGTATCCTATAGGAGTCAATTCAAAGTGCCAACCCATACATTTAAAGCACTGAACAATTCTAGCCCCTCTTATATCTCTTCACAGATCCATAGGTATGCCCCTCCTCGTTCCCTCCGCTCTGCCCGTGACCACCTCCCCACCATTGCTCGCACCCATACGGCCAACTCGCACTTGCAGGACCTCTCGCGGGCGGCTCCTTTCCTATGGAATAGCCTGCCTACCGCCATCAGACTCTCCCCTAGTCTTCAATCATTTAAGAAGTGCCTTAAAACCCATCTCTTTAGGAAAGCTTATGGCCTCCCAGAGTAACTTCTACCGTACATACCTGTCTCTTGCTCTATCCTATAGGGCAGTGTCTTACTCTCTCCCTATTTGATTGATATTTCCTGTCCTAACGTGTCTTATACCCCACCTCCTATAGACTGTAAGCTTGTTTGAGCAGGGTCCTCTTCAACCTTTTGTTCCTGTAAGTTTTCTTGTAATTGTCCTATTTAAAGTTGCACCCCGTCATAATATTGTAAAGCGCTACGGAATCTGTTGGCGCTATATAAATGGAAATAATAATAATAATAAGTAGCAAACAGATGCTACTCACCAACTCACCAACTGAATTGATCATCAGCAAATGTGACCACCTCTATAAAAGTTGAAGTTTTAGCAGTTTGCTGGTCTGGAGTATTTAGGTG